AAAAAACATTAAAATGAATATTCTTTACATGTTGACTTACTCTTTCTTGCTGAGAAATTAGTTTTGTGTCAAATATTTTTGGAAACTTCAAAAAGATTTTTTCTTTAAAATCATCAAGTGACTCTAGTTAAAAGTAAAGTTATAAAACTCAGATAAGCAAAAAATTTATCTTACCAGGAATTTCGCCAATAAAATTGTGGTATACAAATAGCAAATCAAGAAGAAAGTTATGGCCAATAATCGGAGCTGAGGATTTAGAGATCCAATCAAAGATTGTTGAGAGCAAAGAAATACTGTCAATAAGTTTGTTTTTATCTTCATCTATCCAGGCTTGAAAGACGTTTAGGTCGTCAACATACTTGATGTAAACTTTTTTAACGGGTTGTTTTGAGTTTTCAGTGTCGAGCAACTTGATCAGGCTTACATAAAAGAACTGATCTTTATGATTTTCACACCAAAGGAACTCATCATCCTTCAAATAGTTGTTGGTGCTAGTTCCGTCAAGCAGAAAGCGGCGGATTTTCATCATAAAGTAGTAGTTGGAAAGGACATTGGAAGTAGGTTTATACTTGAGTTTCAGACTAAACTTGCACTCCAACTNATAGTTGTTGGTGCTAGTTCCGTCAAGCAGAAAGCGGCGGATTTTCATCATAAAGTAGTAGTTGGAAAGGACATTGGAAGTAGGTTTATACTTGAGTTTCAGACTAAACTTGCACTCCAACTCGTGGATCTTCAAATAATTAGTCCTAGTGTTTTCAAACTTGATTTGCCGTAGCCAAGCCAAAATGTAGAACAAATCATTTGTGATTTCTCGATTCAAATCGGAACAGAATTGTTCAAGAACGGTGTCGAAATTATCAACAAATTTCTTTTTGTTTGATTGCTTGATAAAATGTATGCCATTGTTGGCCCACTAGTAAAGTGATATGCAGATTGAAAGCGGATTAAAAGACGACAATTTACAAAAAAATGATTACCTCATTAGCGTCAAAACCATGAGAAATTAAAAAACTCAATGATTTAAAGTTGAAATTGATGTTTGGTTTCCCTCCCTCGACGATACTGTTTAAAGTGTCCAGTACGTTCAGCGAGTAAGTTGATGCAATGTATTTACTTGCAAAAAAAGATGATCAAGAACTATAAATTAAAAATTCCACCAGACATACTTGTTTGTTTTGTCCTTTTTGAAGCACGTAATTCCAAGCTGAACAATAGAATGATCAAGGACAATTTTCTTCATATTCTTGTATCGATCTTCGGCATTTTCAAAGCAAGCATTTAGTTCAGTTCCAGCAATACCACTCATTTCAACATCAATTGCTGTTTTATAAAAGTATTAAGTATGAGAATAGGAAAGTAAAACTTACAAATAAGAGTCGAATCACTAATGTCCTTGTTTACTAGTGGCATCAGTTGTAAAACGTTTGAGCTTTTTAAATGAAGCATCTTGTAAAAGCTTTTTTTCAAACACTTTGAGCCGAAAACGTGCTTGATCTCACGTGGTCACTGATTTCCTGAAATCCTTATCGAAAGAACGATATTGTTTCAAAGCTGGTATAGATGGCGGTACCGGTGGTGACAAACCTGTAATTTAATATTTTGTTTACTTGCGCATTTTTCCTTTTGCCTTCAAGAGCATCATGCTTTTCTTTAGACCCACAAGGACTTTCTGCCAATGCACAAGATTAACCCAACAGAAAAGACTGCAACACAGTGGTGAAAACCGGAGAGTCGTAGTTACCGGACTTGGACTCTTGTCACCACTTGGAATCGGCGTTTCGCAGTCATGGTCTCAGTTGATTGCTTCCAAATCAGGTGTTGGCAAAGTCAAAGACGAAGAACGCTACAAAGATATTCCCTGCAAGGTGGCCGCCTATGTGCCCGACATTGATTTACATTTAGAGCAGTCCTTTAGCAAGAACCATTTGAGAACGTATTCGCGTTCAACACTGTATGCACTGCTTGCGGCAAAGGAAGCAGTTGATGATGCACAGTACCGGCCGGCAAACGACCATGAAGCTTCTCGAAGTGGAGTTGCCATCGGTTCGGGAATGGTCGACTTTGAGGATGTTCTCTCGGCGGGTGACAAATTACGGCACGAAGGCTACAGCAGAGTCAGCCCCCACTTTATTACCAAGGTGCTTCTCAACTTGCCTGCGGGTCATGTGAGCATGGAGTACAACTTGCGAGGACCCAATCACACAGTGTCCACCGCCTGTGCCACTGGGGCCCACGCCATTGGAGATGCATTCAACTTTATCCGACACAATGTCGCCGATGTGATGCTCTGCGGTGGAGTGGAGGCACCTATCAACCCGCTTTCACTGGCTGCCTTTAGTCGGATCCGAGCTCTCTGCACCAAGTACAATGAAAACCCTGCTGCTGCATCAAGGCCTTTTGATGCCAACCGCTGTGGCTTTGTCATGGGCGAAGGCGCAGGTGTTTTGGTGTTGGAAGAGCTGAATCACGCTTTAAAGAGAAGTGCTAAAGTGTACGGCGAAATTGTGGGATACGGGCTTTCAGGTAACTGTGGAAATCTTTTGAGACGACTTTTCAACTGACTTTTTATACAGCTGATGCCAACCACGTGACGGCTCCCAGTGAGGACGGACAGGGAGCGCAGAGTTGCATGAGAAATGCTCTCCTTGACGGCAATCTACGGTTAGAACAAGTTGGGCACATCAACTGCCATGCTACCTCCACTCCTCTGGGTGACCAGATTGAGCTGAATGCCATCAAGGACTTGTTCAGTAACTCAGGTGCCAATTTGGCCATTACCAGCACCAAAGGCTCCATCGGGCACTTGTTGGGAGCAGCCGGAGCCACAGAGACAATCTTTGCCTTGCTCGCATGTCATCAAGGCGTTGTTCCGCCGACACTCAACTTGGATTCACCCATTGACAGCCAAGTCCACATAGTTGCCAATCAAAAGCAATCTTGGTCAGAAGACAAACGGGTGGCATTGAGCAATTCATTTGGTTTTGGCGGAACTAACGCGTCTATTGCCATTTGTAACTTTGTAAATTAGTAAATGCTTGAATTTATTAAATAAACGCAATCACCGGTTAAACAGTTGATAATTCTGTTGATACTTTTCTCTTCTATTCCTGTTTCTCCTTTTCAATTCCTTTCTTCTTGAACCATTCATCACTCTTGTCTTTGGCCATTTCCTGAAAAAGAAACAATGTCAAATAATGTAAGTAATAAATGAGCCACAATACTCACATCTTCGATGAGTTGGTTTGCATTTGGATCAACTTTTGAAAGATCATCAAAGCCTTTGGAGCCAACAAAACAGATTTCGTGCTTATCAGGATCAGCCAGTATCCTAGAAAACAAAAATGGTAAACTCTGAATTTGAGCTTTGAACTGAATTTGCCTTACACTACTTGAACTGTGGCTTTGCCAGGCGTATCCAGACTGACCAATTTTGTCAAGATTGTTTGTTCTTTTTCAATCATTGAATGCTGAAGAGGAGCTAAATCAGATTCAGGGCAAGCGAAAGCGATGCGGCCATACGCTTTCTCGTGTCTAACAGGTGTTTGGCGTGAGTCGACAATCTCCAGTTTGGCGTCCTTGTCGCCGAATGACACGGTAAAGTGATCCGAAGCTTCCTCATCTAGGTTCATTCCGAGAAAGTTGTGCCAGTAATTTTTAGAGACTTCTAGATTCGAGCTTAAAAGGGACACTTTGGAGATGAGCGATTGATCGTGCTCAGGGTTGTACACCTCAAACATGTACCCGTCAGGATTGGTCAAAACGATGCTTTCCGGATTTTTGTGCATAAACAGAAAACCCTTGTCGTTTTTTAAAATTTGTTCGTAGGCAGATTTTGACTCTATTCTTATGGAAACCAAATCATTGCCGAGTTTGTAATTGGAAACGCCGTAGTTGTAGGTGAGTTCAAGAACAAAGTTGTCACTTTCAGGTCCATAACCGATCATTGTTTTTGACCACTAGTGATTTTATAGTAAGTAAATTGAGACACGATGATTTAGGAAAGATTACCTTGCCATCGTAGGGGCCATTGCACTGTGCTTCGCACATGGTATGAAACTCTTCATGACGAAGGACCTGAAAAATAACAAGTTGTTAAACTCCAAACGAAATCTCAGCTAAATCAGACAAACCTTCATTCCAAGCAAATCGCGAAAAAACTCAATGTTTTTCGCTCTATTTCCAATTTTGAGAACGTAATGAAGTGCTCGTCGAGCCATTTTCCTGGTTGCCAGAGAGTGGCAGGAGATGTTCAGTAGTCAAATTGGGTAATGAATGACGAAACGAGACGGGTAGCAACGCCAACTTGATCAAGCCCAGTCTTGTGCTGCCTGTCTTGTTTATTGTTTGAAAACAAAAATTCCCCGTCTTTTACGATTGTGTCGACCCCGTACGGTACACTTGTTAAATAGGCATCTTTGGAAATGCTGCAGCAGCACATTGCAGCAGCAGCCATATGGTTTCGCCACCAGCAGTGTCCTTTCTCTGCTCCCCTACTATCTGGCCTCGCGATCCATCTGGTTGGCAAGCGGCAACTGCTGTTCGCCATTCACTGATGTCCCTGCATGATTGCCGTGCCAAAGTCATAGAAAAGTAAGTGCCTTTCTCCTATATAAATATTTGAACAACACCAGGAAAACTTTCGCCGACCACATTTTTAACTATTAAAAAGGAGGCAGATGTCTATTCTTTTTCTTTTTCGTTTTATGCTTTGTTTTTCTCTGGAAAAATCTGCTCGTCTCTACCGAATTTCCGCAAGTTTCAACTACTAGGCGGCATTCAGGTAATTGTGGGCTCACGTTATCGCCATCTACTCGGTATCAACGTTTTTAATTACCACTAATAGGCTTAATCGGTAATCGATAATTAATAAATTTGGCAGTGTCTAATCGAACACCACCGTTGCGTTGACGGCAGTGGTAGCAGTGGCGGTGTTGTGGTTGTGTTTGCATCCTTTGATGCCGAACACGTTTAAACCTGCCTTTATGGCCATTACGTGATGAACGCTCGGTAAAAGTGTTACTATTTTAAAAGTAAAAGATGTATATTTTCATATTTCCTGCCTTTTGCGTTGACAACAAACCTAGCCAGCAAGCTCCTCTCTTACCTGATTACCATTTAAAGTTGCAGTTTTGGAGAAAAATGTAATATTTTAAATACTTGATCATCGACTGTAGGCAGTTGTAGCAGTAGTAGATCAAATGAGCTTCAGTCAGTGTATAAGCGTAATCAGATATGGCAGCAATGAAAATGGCTTTAAAACTAAAGCAAACGCACAGAAACTGTTGACGATAAATAGTCGTTTTCAAAGTTGCCACTGGCCAGCGGTGAAAAGTTTGATGGCAAATCTCGTTACCTTGGCTGCTATTTTTGTCTTTGTGAGTATCAAATGCAAATGTAGTCAATGTTCAACAAATTCATTTTGTGCTCGCTAGTAAAGGCTGTTGCTTTCCTTTTTAAAGTAATGCTTTTGTTGAGAGCGCCAACACTTGGCAAATCGGCTCTAGCAAAGACGAAGAAGTGAAAGAAGATGAAGGCCTTCATCGTACAACTCATAAATTGGTTCTCTTTGCCATTAACCTTTATTTTTGACTGCTGCCACTCGGTCCACTGGGCAGTGGCGAGTCACTAAACAACCGTATCACCACCGACTGCACTCTCTCACTTTTTAGGCTGATTGTCACTGCTCTCCACTGAAGACGCTCATTTTTTATTCGCCGCCATCACGAACACCGGCACACTCTCCACTTCCACTGGCCACTGTGAACGTGTGTGCATTCAGGTGCTAAAAGCATCGGGAAAGTGGTCCTCTTTCGTCCTCGTCCCAGTCACCCAGTGCACTTAATTCGAGGTCTATTTTTTCAAGTTTAATCCCCAGTCTATAGCTGACAACAATGAACTGTTTGTGCTTTTTACGCCAGATGATGTTTTGAGCTCGATCTTTATTTGTCTTTGGCATTGCTCTCTGTCCTAGTTGAACTTTGTCTTCTGCTTCTATTACATACATTTTATAGCCTCACTAGACTGCTGCGATGCACTGAAAAAGCCGACTGCCCTCAACTCAGCGACCATCTTTTCGGTAAACTCCTTAGTACCTCATAAGATAAGATCAAGGCAATGGGATTGATCTAATTTGGCCAATCCCCAGAGATGGCTCACAGTCACACACATCCAGGCAGTTTTGTCCTGTCACAGACCCTCAGCGGTCTGTTTGATTTACTGCTTGCTTTGCCAGCTTTACCGTTCTAGATCCTTTACTGCTCTTTCTCTTCATCCATCTATCACGACTTTACCACTCAGCTGGCCATTCCTATTGACAGAAGCTAACCGTCTGCTAATCTCCTGCTGAATGCCACTTCCTCAGCCCTGCTGTTTTACGTCCTCACCGCGTCGGCTGCATCTTCACTCCTTTATCCGTTTTAATTCGCATTTGCAATGACGTGTGGAGGTGCCTCAAGAGCGGACAAATAACATGTCTGATCGAAACAGAGGTGCTACTGCTGAATTAGCTCTCTCTCTCTCTCTCTCTCTCTCTCTCTTTATCCCCAACACCAATTGGCACCTTTTTCATACCTTTGCCAATCGGTCACTTTGGCCTCGAATGAATCCGCTTGGCACGCAAGTGTTATTTTGCACTAGTACGGTGAGAAGTTACCACTTTCTTCCTTTCAGTGCACTTTTCGGTGAACCTGCAACTGGTGATGAATGGCCCCTGTCCTCACATTAAACTATTTTTATGTAAATGGCCCAAATACACAACAATATCGATCGTGTCTGACTAATCTCAATGTGGTTAGCCACGTCTTGTTTTTTGCCGCACTTTCCACCGCAAAATAATTTAAACGGAAATTTGAAAAGCTCCCGCCCTTTGCTCAGACTTGTGCAGACTGTAAAATCAAAAGCTGAAGGTGACTTGATTGAGTCATTACGGGTTGACAGCGTCTGGAGCATGTTGCACTGAAGCACTTGATGAGAAATTAGCGCTCATACTTTTAGTATACTGTGAGTTAGGCGGTCATAATAGGGCCGATCAGCGTCACCGTTTTCTTCGTCGTCAGTCCGTTAGATCAAACGCTCGATCAAGTTTGGTGCTTGCCAACCTTTCAGCCACTACTGCCCAGTGCGTCAGGTGCTCATTAGCACTGCTAATTTGTTCACTGGGTAAATTTGTTGTATTTCCGACAATACCACCACTACCACTACCACTAGCAAGATCACTGAAGAAAGCAAACACGCGCTATTAATTAGTCAGTAGATGCGCCAGTGAGTCAAAATATCAAAGAGCAGTCAGTCTGCTCACAGAACAAGGCTAAACACCGATATGCTCGTTACGCCTTCTTTCCTCTCCTCCCCTTCTCCTCTTTTTCCCTTTTGACTGCTCTACAAGACTCGCTCGTGATCAATGATCACTTGATTTTGCAGCAAAAACTGATTAATTAAGTGCTTCGATAGCCTATCGCTGTTTTGTGCGAAAAATACTGCTCAGTTCTGTCACAATTTTCCGCTGCCTTTGTACTGTTTAATTGATGCTTTAGCCAAGATGAATCTATTAGCACCTTGATGGTGGTGATAATGGTGGCTAGACTTCGATTATGCAGCACATTTTTTTACCTCGGTCATGTTGTGAGTGACCCTTGAGAGTCACTTGGTGGCCCCAAATTTGCAAATGTTGCATTTTTGAAGTACTCTGAAGCATTAATTAGTGTGTCCAGTGCAGTACAGACTAGGTGAATGCGACGGACAGAGCTGTGCCCTTGCGGCGGGCTTGACAGTGGCCATCACATGTCCAAGTGTAATCATACACGTCCGGTGAGGTGTGTAATTTTGAACGACAGAAAAGTCTGGAGCACTTTGTCGCCTAGCAGTCACTGTAGCGCAGCCATGGCTGGTCAGTGTGTGTGTGCTTGTGTAATTGAATCAGTCAATCTGATTAGGAGCAATGCTTGATTGATGAGTCAGCCAAATACAGTGCTGTTCGGCAGCACATCCAGAGCAGCACGGCAGCATTGTCCAGTTGAACCACTGACACTCGCACTACTTTTTTTCTCTTTTTACACAGTTCACCTTGCCCGCTTTCTTTTTTCTCCTCCCCCATGCTTTGCTTGACATTCACACCATGCTTCTGCTGCTGTTGTTGTTGTTGCTAGCATAGTACTGCTGACCGCTGACCATTCGGTAGCAAGTGATTGTTCAATTTTTGATTGATTTGATTGAGTGCTTCTGGCGGACTTTGAATTTGATTGTCGTGCAAGCGGAAATCAGCACTGTTTTAAAATGCGACTGCAACTTTTTGGATGCTGCATGAGTTTGCTGAATACTACTTCTTCAGTTAAAAACTGTGGAGCGCAATTGTCTTTAGCAATTGTTGGCACACTGTTGACGTGCAAATAAGAGTTGCTAATAGATTCATTACTGTTGAGTAGTATCATTGTTTTCTAAGGTGTAATCAGATTGAGGATGATGAATGCACAGATTTCCGCTGACAGTGCCAAACGGCTATAACGGAATCTAAAAAGTTTAAGTAACAGTCCGAACAGAGTTTTTAACTGCTGCTAAACAACCGTAATTTGTGTTGTAGATTTTGTCACCTATTTACGTTAGGCCAAACAGCACTGCTTGATATTTACAAAAACGGTGTTCACCTATGCAATTATCTCATTAGACCTTGTCTGCTTCCTTGTACATTTAATCGGCGGTCTCGTGGCATGTTTGTTTGTTTTCTAGCCGCATCTTCACCCTAATCATCTCCACGCAAAGGACACTTGGGCTTGATCTCCTGTCAATTAGCCGCACAGCACTGCACAGACTTCAGTTAATGATGAGTCTCAAATGGAACGGAACAAGTGGCAAGTAAATCACGCCTGTAGTTGTCCAATCGTCATCGATTAGAGGCTTTATTGACTCGCTGACAGGCGCCATCCCAAAGCGATCATTTAAATGCACCTTTTTCCTCTTCTAAACGAGAGAAATGGTAATGATGACGGGTGGGCTTAGCACACACACACACACACACATTCGCGTTGGCCACATTTGGAAATAGCATCCACAAGGTAGAGAATGATATTACCGACATTGTGTATACGGCTCGGCAAACTGACCACTGACTACCACTGAGCAGTAGTCTCTGTGTCTCGGTCACCAAATAGTCGCACACATGGCAGCATATTGGCCCAATGCAATCTTTCGGTCTGTATGGCTGCTAGTGCCACCGAGTGCCGCT